CTGAGGCAGGCTGATGCTGAGGCAGGCTGAGGCTGAGGCTGAGGCTGAGGCTGAGGCTGCAGGCTGAGGCTGAGGCAGGCTGAGGCTGAGGCCGAGGCTGAAGGCAGAGGCTGAGGCTGAGGCTGAGGCAGGCTGAGGCTGAGGCTGAGGCAGGCTGATGCTGAGGCAGGCTGAGGCTGGCTGAGGCTGATGCAGGCTGAGGCTGAGGCAGGCTGAGGCTGAGGCCGAGGCTGAAGGCAGACTGAGGCTGAGGCTGAAGCAGGCTGAGGCTGAGGCTGAGGCAGGCTGAGGCTGAGGCAGGCTGAGGCTGAGGCTGAGGCTGAGGCTGATGCAGGCTGAGGCTGAGGCAGGCTGAGGCTGAGGCCGAGGCTGAAGGCAGACTGAGGCTGAGGCTGAAGCAGGCTGAGGCTGAGGCTGAGGCAGGCTGAGGCTGCTGCTGAGGCAGGCTGAGGAGGCTGAGGCTGAGGCTCATGCAGGGTGAGGCTGAGGCAGGCTGAGGCTGAGGCCGAGGCTGAAGGCAGACTGATGCTGAGGCTGAAGCAGGCTGAGGCTGAGGCTGAGGCAGGCTGAGGCTGAGGCTGATGCAGCCTGAGGCTGAGGCTGTGACTGCGACTGCCGTTGCCACTGCGACTGCCATCGCGAATACGATTACGACTGCGAGAACAGCAGAATTCTACAACTGGGTTCTCATCAGAATCTTACGGGGAATGCTTCCAGACATGCTCCTACACATCGCTGTTAGGTTTCTTTGCTGGGATAATATTTTTTTTTCTTCTCCTCAGCTTGGCCCCGGCTTCGGGGGACCTCCGCCGCGAATCTGGAGGAGCGCAAGTCTGGTCCACCTTGCTCCTCCCCCCTGGGATCTGGGCGCCGCAATTTTTCACACTGTTTTTACCTAGCAGCGAAGACTGATAGGTTTCTAGTTGTGTCAAAAGAGAGCATCATGACTCCTCAGGGGGGTCGGGGCGGGACCCGGGGCGGCTGCCGCCGAAGCCGAAATCGCTTGGGACATCCTCGCAAAATCGCTCTTGGCGCTCCCAGAACTCCATTCCCGGGCCACATTTTGAATGCCCGGAGCCAACTGTAGGCCACTTCGTGCTCTTCGACTTCCCAGAACTCCATTCCCGGGCCACATTTTGGATGCCCGGAGCCAACTGTAGGCCACTTCGTGGTCTTCGAGTTCCCAGAACTCCATTCCCGGGCCACATTTTGGATGCCCGGAGCCAACTGTAGGCCACTTCGTGGTCTTCGAGTTCCCAGAACTCCATTCCTGGGCATGATTTTGAATGCCCGGAGCCAACTGTAGGCCATTTCGTGTTCTTCGAGTTTCCAGAACTCCATTCTCGGGCCACATTTTGAATGCTGAGGCAGGCTGATGCTGAGGCTGAGGCAGGCTGAGGCTGAGGCAGGCTGAGGCTGAGGCCGAGGCTGAAGGCAGACTGAGGCTGAGGCTGAAGCAGGCTGAGGCCTGAGGCTGAGGCTGAGGCTGAAGGCAGACTGAGGCTGAGGCTGAAGCAGGCTGAGGCTGAGGCTGAGGCAGGCTGAGGCTGAGGCAGGCTGAGGCTGAGGCTGAGGCAGGCTGAGGCTGAGGCTGTGACTGTGACCACTGCGACTGTCATCGCGAATGCGACTACGACTGCGAGAACAGCAGAATTCTACAACTGGATTCTCATCTGAATCGTACACATCGCTGTTAGGTTGCTTTGCCGGGATAATTTTTCGCTGGGTTTCGGGGCCTGGCACCATCACATATCGATCTGGCTCGACAAAAGGCGCGGAACGATGGGGACCAGGACTCGGGTCGTGATTTTCCACGATGCATTTTGTCGCAACGTCGGATCTCAGGGCCCTTCCTCCTCCCAGGAACAGGGCGAGCAGTCCGCGGATGAGGGGGCATGGCAGAGGATAGAGGTGGGGTTGCCTCACTGTCCGGTTCTTGCCACGCTGGCCGCCAGACCAGATGGAGGGTAGGGGGGGGGCCGCCCGAAAAGGTTCCAGGGCCTTGTGGCCTTCCTGGAAGGTTTCCAGGTAGGGCTAGTCAGGGGTCCCAGGAAGAGCTACAAGGCTCCAGGGGAGACCCTAGCGCTCATCACCCCTTTCCCTCAGGACCCGACTCGGCTCATGGCACTACGGCTTGGCATCGAGGGCCAACCTCTATCCTCAGATCGGGGGAGGTCAATTGACCACCTCACCGATTCTGGCTGGGCCCATCCTGGTACCAGGATTGGTGTCGGTGCCTCCCCCGCCTCACGGCCTTACGCCGAGGATGGGCCCAGCCAGGATCGGTGAGGTGGTCAGTGGAGGCCTCCCCCCTGAAACGGTTTTCGCCCGAGAGGCGCTGGACAGCCTGTTGGTCTTCTTCTGGTGGCTGCAGGGGCGGATCCCTGCGAGCTCCGTCCACGCCGGGCTGCTCAGGGTCGGCTTCGGCAGGCACGCCGGCCTCACCTACCAGCAGGCGCGGAGCCAGGAGCCCGCGTTCTGCAGGTGGCATCTGGAGCAGGCGCAGTGGCCCCCATCCTCGTCCCTCCTCCCTCCTCCCTTCACCCTCCCTCTTCTGTTCCCCCCCCCTCGTCGTCGCCCTCCTCCTCCTCCTCCTTGTCCTCTCTCTCCTTCCTCTGTAGCCATTTTGGGTCAAGACGTCTTGTGCTTGTGGCAGAGCACGGATACCGCCAGTCTGCGCCAGTTTCCAAGCCTTTTCAGAGGCCAGCGACCCTGCCGAGAGGCTCGGCAGTCGGCCTCTCCTGCGTTCGACGGGCTTGAGCAGCCCGCCGCCCCCCGTCTCCCGTAGTCATGGTGCCGCAGCCGCCGCAGCCCAGCGGCCTGCGCGGCCCGCGCCGCCCTGCGTGGGCCTGCGGGCGATGCGCTGCGAGCGCAGGCTGCGCGAGCAGGATCTGGCGCACTTGCGGCAACGGCGCCCCCGCGCGCATCTGCAAGGCAGCGTGGGACATTCAGAAGTTGTGGGATGAGAAGTCCTACGACACGAGGAGTGGCCCTGCTCGAGAGCCTAGCGTCCCCATGGTCGACTCCGACCTCGGCAGGCGATGGGCTGACAAATGTGAGAAGCAGGCAACTCCTCCGTGGTCCAAGGTTGCCGAGCCTGACCCAGCGGCGTCCGCCTCAGAGCTTGATGACAAGGATGCGGATGAACGTACCAAAGTTGTTGCCCAGGTGGTGTGCTTGGAGGCCTCGCTCAAGTCTCCCCTGTCGGAGAGCCAGGTGATGATTTTCGGAAGTCGCTGCAGTCCAAGATTGGCGCCAAGAGCCGAAGGAGCTACGACCTCCTGCGGTGGCCTACTGCACAGCCACCCAGGACCTCTACAGAGTCAAGTCGACCGTCGCGCTTGGCTAAAGAGATATCCCAGAACGAGGGGCAGCTCAGTAAGTTGCAGGAGAGTGCCGCGGACAAAAACGTCACACATGACGCTAAAACAGCAGAAGTTGCAGCTCTGCAGGAGGAGGTCAAGAAGCATGCCAACACCGTGGGAGGAGGTGGCGACTCCAGGTCGAGATTCGGTCTTTTTACAACCTGAACAACCACTTTACAACCATATGGGTTACTTTACAACCAACATAGGATTGGAAAGTATGGTTTTTCATCGAGAACGTCCACTTTGCAACCAGAGCGGCCCACTTTACAACCAGAACGGACCACTTTACAACCATAACGGGCCACTTTACAACCATAATGGACCACTTTACAACCAGCTCAGAGTGGCCGTGCGTGTTTGGGCGTTCCGCAAAGTGCTCCAGAGCAAGTGGGCGCTCTGAAAAATGCCCCAGAGCAAGTGGGCGCTCTGAAACGTGCCCCAGAGCAAGTGGGCGCTCTCAAAAGTGCTTCAGGGCGCGCGGACGCTCTGAAAAGTGCTCCAGAGCACGTGGGCGTTCTGGAGCCCGAGCGCCTGAACTCTTTGCGCAGGCCCCAGCGATGCCTCTGAGCCCGAGCGCCTGAACGCCCTGCGCAGGCCCCAGCGATGCCTCTGAGCCCGAGGACCTGGGCGCTCTGCGCAGGCCCCAGCGATGCCTCGGAGCCCGAGGACCTGGACGCTCTGCGCAGGCCCCAGCGATGCCTCTGAGCCCGAGCGCCTGGGCGCTCTGAGCAGGCCCCAGCGATGCCTCTGAGCCCGAGCGCCTGGACGCTCTGGCGCTCTGAGCCCAGCAGACTAAGACAGGGCTTGCTAGCAGGGGCCAAGCGGCCTGAACAAGGGCCCCGTGCTCGCACAGGAATAAGGCGACAGCATACGTAGGAAGGCTCAGGGCGACGCGCTGCCCAGTTTAGGGACCACTCACAGGAAGCGAGCCCAGTGGCCTCCACAAGGGCCCAGCGCTCCAGGGAACTAGGCCATTGGCACCGCGGGTCTCTTGCGCCACGTTGGCCCCTGAAGCCCCGCGGTGTTCTGCAAGGGGCTCAGTGCTCCAGCTCCAGTTGGCCCCCTGCTGCTCCTCTTCTTGGAAGATCGACGAGGTTCAACGTTCCGAATAAATGCAACTATTTCGAAGATCGTTCCTTCCAGCGTCAGCCACAGCGCCAGCGCAGCAACGCAGGTTTCCTGCTCGTGCAGCAGCCTCAGCCACCGTGCCAGCGCAGCAGCTTGAGCCACCGTGACAGCGCATCACCGCCACCTTTGTGCCTGCTACCACCAAACTTACCGCTGCAGCCCCGCTGCCTCCACAATTCCGACTGGCCCCCCGCTGCCGCCGCAAATCCCATTGCAGCCCAGCTACCACCGCAGTTCCCACCGCTGCCTGGCGACCACCACAGTTGCCACCGCAGCTTCCCAACGCCATGCAGTTCCCATTGTAGCCCCCGCTACCACCACATCTCCCACTACAGCTTCCCACTGCCATGCAGCTCCAGTCTTGGACGGGATCATGGTCTATTCGTACGCCCTGCGCGACTAGCCTTCGCCCGTCAGAAAACAAGGGCAGAGCAAGCAATGGCAGAACTGACCGACAGAGCTTAGAGAGCAGGTCAAAACCCTAATCCGCCCACCAGCACGCAACATACCATAGCGCACCAGGTCGCCGCATCGCCAACGCGTGCTCAGTGCTTCTTCGTGCGCGATGGGCAACTTTACAACCAACATGCCTCAGAGAGCCCAAAGCCACCCTTGCGCTTGCCCACGGAGATTCCAGGGAAAGGCCCGCGTGCATTCAACATGTGTTTTTACTTGCCTGGTTGTAAAGTGCCCTTCCTGGTTGTAAAGTGCCCTTCTCGGATTTTGTAAGCTGGTTGTAAAGTGACCCATCTGGTTGTAAAGTGCGCTTCTGGTTGTAAAGTGACCCACGCGCATTCCAGGTCCCCTGCCTCGGCCCCACCAACAACGACAGCAGGCTTTCTCAACGTCAAGCCAGATGAGATCGACGACCCAGAGTTTGAGAAGTCGAGAGATTTTCGATCGCAGGCTGCAGTGCGTGTGTGTGTGTGTGTGTGTGTGTGTGTGTGTGCTGATTGATTTGCCTGTCACAAGAAGGCACACCTACCTGTTCTACTCAAGCATGTCGACAAATGGTGCTCGATCCAGCAGTTCATTTACCCGGTTACGCCGCGGCTCCTGTCCAGCCCCGCAGCCCCCTTAGATCCGCTCACGAAGCCGATCAGTTGGCCTATGCGTGCTGCTCTTGCTGACATGGTCAGCGGCCCAACGGTGCATGGGCAGTTGTTTCCAGAGTCCATGGAATGTTTGCAGTCTCTTTAGCCGATTTCGTTGCCTGGAATGCTGGTGTTGATCTGGAGAGCGCGGGGGCATGCGTCATAAATCTCGAGCCCCGATGGGTGAATGCCGAAGTCCAGATGCACCAGGGGAGCGACGTACTGGCTTTATGGCAAGGCTGGCAGTGGAAAAGGGACGCGTTCTTAAACACCCTCAAGCTGGCCGCAGAACTTGACGCGATGGCTGACGGCTCGGAGGAGATAGCGCAGTCTCCGAGCAACGCCCACTCTGGGGCTAGGAGAGGGAGGGAGAAGGAGGATGAGGAAAATGATTGAGACCTTCCTGGTACTTTTTGAGTCATTCTTGGGGCCTCCTGGCCGCTTCCTGGGGGCCTCTTGGGGGCCTCTTTGGCATTGGGTCGTCCTGCGGCCTCTCGGGGGCTTCTGGGGGCTTCCGAGAGCTTCTTTGGCCGTCTTGCCGCGTGCCTGGCCCGGTCGAGCCCGTCGGAAGCCGCGTTGAGGGCTTCTTTGGGCCGTTTTGGGGTCCTGCTGGGGCGCTCCTGGGTCGTCTTGAAAGCCATTTTGGCTATCTTGCGGCCTCTTGGGCCGCCTGGGGCCGTTTGGGGGCTATCTTGGGAGCCGCTTGGGCCGTCCTGGGGCCATTCTGGAGCCCTCGTGGGCGATCTCGGAGCGATCTCGCTGGCCTACTGGGCCGCCTTGGGCCTTCGGAGGGCTGGTTTGAAGTAAACGCTTAACATTTTTCATAACCATCGTGGAAATCAATGGTTCTGGCCTCTCTGGGCTTTTCCCGGAGGACCTTTCGGAGGCTTCCTGGGTCGTCTTGGAACGAGGGGTGGATTTTGAGGAACTCTCTGGGAGGCTGGCAGCCCGGGCCGAGACTCCACGGGGCGTCTTTTAGGACAGGGCCGGCAATTTGCCAGCGGGTTGACCCGCAAAGGGACTCATCGGAAAGGGAGTGGTGCAAGAGATTTGGTGCAATATATTTGTGGCGCTGCAATGCAATTGGGGCGCGCAGTGCATTCCGGGGCGCAGATGTATTGCTATATTTCCGCGTGTGATGCATTACTTGCAATGCAATGCAGTGCAGTTCTCCGGCGCAATACGTTTGCAAAACAATTGCCCCAAATCTATTGCACCACCCCTTTTCAGCTGGACCCCCTTGGTGGTCGTCCAAATGCCAGACGTTTAGCGCGCCGCGCGCCCCCGTGGCAAGACTGCAGGGGGCGGCGGGCCCAGACCCCCGACGTCGTGATTTTTGCATTGCGCTGGCCCCCAGAAGTCTGGACCCACTCTCAGGGTGCAATCGGGCGTGTCCCTCTACAGGGGGAATAGTTAAACATAGGTTAAACAAATGTCAGGGGATGATCTTTTGGGTAGTGGCCGCGGGGGTGGCCGCGGCGGCGCCGGCCACCGCGCCCTCCGCCGCCGCCGCCGCCGGCGGGGGGCCGGCAGCGGCAGCGGCAGCGGCGGCAGCAGCGGCGGCGGAAACCGCCGCCAGCCAGCCGGGGGCCGAGCCGGGCCGGCCGCTGGCCGCCTCCGACGGCGGCGGCGGCAGCGGCGGCGGCGGTGGAGGGCCGCCAAGCCCAGGCGGGGCGCCCCGTCGCGCCGCCGCCAGCCGATGGCGGCGGCGCAGAGCGGCCCCGGAGAGGACTGCGCCGTGAGTGGACATGACCTCGGCCCGAGGGGCACCTGAGCCGGGGCGGGCTCGAGCCGACGTGGCTTGAGCCAGGCAACGGACTGGTGGGGGTGCTTTTTGGTCGCGGCCGCGAGCGAAGAGGCAGGCGGCGAGCGGGGTGCCCGGGCCAACGGGCAAGCCTAATTAGTTACAA